CCCGCCTCCTTCCTGGGCCTCGGGCCTGAAGCACATTCCAGGCTGAGGGGCAGCTCCGGGCTCTGGGCTTCCAGCTCGCACCCACCCAGGGAGTCAGGGTGGGGCAGCCCGACTGGAGCAGGGGCCTGGGGGCCTCCCTGTGAGCGCTCCCAGGCCCGGCCCGAGGGGCACGGGAAGGCGGCTGTTGTCATGGGCAAGCTACACAACCTCTGGGAGCAGAAGCTGGCTCCTCCTGCCACCTCCTTCGGGCCTCGCGCACACGGCACACACAGCTCACACACTCACCCAGGCGCACACCCGAGCCGACAGTGCCCTCTAGTGGCCGCTCTTGTCATTGCCCTAAAAGGTCCCCAGGAGCCTCATGGGAAACCAGGCTGCACAAAGCTGAAGGTCATTCTCTCCTTTCCCGGGAGGCATGCGACCTGGCCAAGGTCACACAGGAGGCGGGTGGGGGAGCCCTGCCCCCGACCCCTAAGCCAGTGCTCTCGCCCCCCGCTCTCCCCCCCACTCAGCCTGGGCGCTCACATCCCAGCTCCCAGGGCCCTGCCACAGTGGGGGATCTTGTACCCCCCCACACACACACACAACCTTCCACAGGCACAGGGTCCCGTGGGCTCCCTCCTCCCCCAGAGAAAAAACAAGCGCCTTCCATTCCACGCTACTGAGCATCTCCAGCGCCCGGGCTGCCTCCGGCCCTGGAGTGGCCCCTGAGACAGGCCTGCAACACAGTCCCGGGGGGCGCAGGCCCAAGCGAACCCCACATGGCCACGCGGGGCAGGGAGAGCCACGCTGCTGGTGTAGATGGTGGTCACAGAGGCCACCCTGGGTGCCGCCGGGGCACTAGCCGGGAAGGTGCCTGGGAGGGGGTGCTCCCGGCAGAGGAACAGCAAGTGCCAAATCCACAGGCTGCGGCCCTTAGCACCGACACGGTGGTCTTTGGGGAAGGGTCTTCGGGCGGAAATTCGGGTTGGATGAGGTCAGGGGGGACCCTGGGGATGGGGGGATGCCCTTAGAAGGAGAGGGAGAGAGCGGCGTCAGCGTCTACGTCCATGCCCAGCTCCCCCGCTCTCCACGCGAAGACGGAAGGCCAGACCGGCTCACATCAGGCACCGAACCTGCAAACGGGTCTGCGGCACCCCAGCCCCTAGAGCTGCAGGAAAGCGATGCCCGCAGCGCACCCACCCAGTCCCCGGTGTTGAGCCAGGACAGCCGGGGCGCAGGGGTGCGGGTCAGGGCTGGAAAGGACATGGCCCCGGGGAGCGGAGGCAGGTGGAGGACGGGCCCCCGGGACGGACACGCGTAAAGATACTCCCACCCCTGGCCCCCCACGGGCAGCGGAGGGCCCGGCAAAGGAGGCCTCGGTGACCAGGGGCCAGGGGGCTGGGTGGCTGCCTGGAGGAGAGGGCAAGTCAGGCCCTGAAGAGCCAGGTTCGCTCATCCAAGCGTTCCCCAGTGCTGCCTGACGTCAGCCATTCTCTCTCCACCCTCACCCAGCTGGCCCGCGTGCTGCTGCCACCTAGTGGCTCACCCGCCCAGAACCACAGGGAACCCCGCCCCACGCAGAGCACCATCCTTGGGGGGCAGGGGGGACGGGAGCCGCCTGGTGGCGAGTTGATGCCATGGCACCTCTTGCATCACGGAAGGGGCACGGACTCCGGGTCCGGACTTGCTGCCCCCGCCTGTGAGGCTTCTTCCAGCGCCGCCAGCCCTGGGCGCTCGGGGCGTCTCAGCCACCATCGCGGCTGTCCCCCCAAAGCACCGCGTCTAACGGGGGGACTTGTTCCCCAGCCAAGGGCCTGCACCGGGGGTTCTCTCGTCTGAGCCTGAGCGTAGATACATGTACCCCGCTGCCCAGGGGCGACCGGCCTCATGCAAGAAGCAGAGCGGCTTACTGAGGGCTCTGCGGGGGGAGCAACACCCTGAGGGGTGGCCGTGTGTCTTCGGGGGGTTGCAATGCGCGCTTCGAATCCAAGACCATTCTGGGGTGCGGCCCCTCTCCCAGAGCCGAGCTCCTTGCGCCTGGGAGCCGGAGGTGGAGGCAGGAATGGCTTCTTCCACAGAGTCCTGCGGATGCACTCGCTCTGACCTCTGCGGCTTCGGAGAGCCTAGCTCCCCGCGGATCATGCTCCCACCAGGGGGCGCTACGGTCGCTCCAACGGGCAGGGAAGAGGCTCGGGTTGGACTCATAGAAATCAGGCTGCGGGACTGCACCAGGACTGTGTGCAGACCTGAGGGCACCACGGGCTCCGTAGGCCTCTCAGGACCTCCTGGGACGCAGAGCCGCAAAGCACGAAGATTTAGATCTGCCGCCGCCGCCAGGAGAAGATCCATGACGGCTGGGGCTCCGGCTCAGGGCCAGAGAAATAACAATATCGAATCGGTGGCGGGAGAGACAGGTCGTAGATAGTAACGATGACCTCATGACGAGGTGGCCAGGGTTAGCAAAATACAAACAACAACAACACAGGTGTCCAGTTAAATGTGGATTTCATTGAACAACGAATAATCTTTTTCGTGTAAGTTGTGTCACATGAACTCGTTGGGACATCCTTATACTAAAAAATAAAATAAAATCATTGTTTGCACGGCCTGTGGCCTATCTCACAGCCCCATTTTCATGACTGATGCCCCAAGAACTGCAGGAACTTCACACCTTTTTCTCTTGGCTCGTTCTATGCCCATATGTGTTTGTATTTCTTAACCACATTCTCTCTTCTTCGCGGTATTGCTATCTATAATAATAAGGGCTTAAAGTGCTAATTAGACTGGACAGCTGAATGACCTTCCGGACGTCCTTCCAGATGAGCTTCTGGAGGAAGCCGGGGTTGGGAGGGCGGAGGAGCCCCCTGCATGAATTTCGTGCCTTGGGCCTCTAGTGTTTATATTCAGGTTGTTGGGGGCCAGGAGGATATTCAGTGGAACTGTGGCTGGCCTTGCGGAGAAGTTCACATAGTTCGCTGTGTGTTCCGTGACTCATGGGAGCATGTGTCTCCTCATTGCAGAGGGAGGGGGAGATTTTTGTGAAAAGGAGAGATGATGCTCGGATGAAAACAGTGGCTTTGCCAGCTGGTGCAGTGCCAGGCTTTGCCAATAGAGGGTGCTGGAGGCACACTGCAAGGCCATAGCCCCGAGAAGGCCTCGGCCAAAAGATCCGACCCTGAGTGTGAGTGAGTGTGTGTGTGTGGGGGCGAAAGATCCGACCCTGAGTGTGAGTGAGTATGTGTGTGTGTCTGTGTCTGTGTGTGGGTGTGTGGGTGTGTCTGTGTGTGTGTTATTGTATGGATCAGGGGGTCATGGAGAAGGACATAACCAGCTAGTTGGCTGGCCAAGCAATTTGAGAAATACAGAAGAGGGTATATGGGTATATACTTTGCTATAACTGGGCTGTTTATTTCTCCTGTACAAATGTGACACTGACAGAGAGAGCCACTGTTGAATCTCTCTCTCTCTCTCTCTCTCTCTCTCTCTCTCTCTCTCTGTGTGTGTGTGTCTCTGTGTGTGTCTGTGTCTCTGTGTGTCTGTGTCTGTGTCTGTGTGTTTGTGTGTGTCTGTGTCTCTGTGTGTGTCTGTGTCTCTGTGTGTGTGTGTGTGTCTGTGTGTGTGTCTGTGTGTGTGTGGGTGTGGCAACCTGCTGCGTTTTCCCGAGGGACCTAGAGGGCTTCGCTTGCAGGGAATGAGCAGGAGGCCGCTCTGAGCTCGGGTTCTGTCCCTGACGCGGTCTGTGCCTGCGTTTCCTTGTCCTACGTTGGTGGGCGGCCTGGGGCGTCCCAGGAAGCCTGAGCCAGTGACAAAGGCGGCAGATTAGTGGCTCTGGCAGAGAAGGAGAGAGAAAGCCTGAGCGTACCCGTGGGCGGGCTTTTCTATCGATGAACCTCAGAGGCCGGGTCACTGGCACAGTGCTTGGAGAGATTTCACTGCACAGCACTCCGCATCATCTGTCCAAAACATCACCACAACCACCCTGGGCGGTGTGGCTCAGTGGATAGAGCGCCTGCCTGGAGGGTCCCAGGTTCAATTCCAGTCAAGGGCACAGGCCCGGGTTGTGGGCTCGATCCCCAGTTGGGGGGAGGGGGTGCAGGAGGCAGCCGATCCATGATTCTCTCTCATCATTGATGTTTCTCTCTCTCTCTCTCCCTTCCTCTGTGAAATCAATACAAATATATATATTTTTTAAATCATCACAACCAACTGCAATTTTCACACCTGCTATTGAGACTGTAGCTGAAGTCAGCACATCCTGGCCAGGAAAAGCGTCCTGCTCGGCAACGCCACCTCCTGGTCATGGAGAGACAGACCCCAAGGCCACGAGCAGAGCGCCTGCCTGGAGGGTCCCAGGTTCAATTCCAGTCAAGGGCACAGGCCCGGGTTGTGGGCTCGATCCCCAGTTGGGGGGAGGGGGTGCAGGAGGCAGCCGATCCATGATTCTCTCTCATCATTGATGTTTTTATCTCTCCCTCTCCCTTCCTCTGTGAAATCAATACAAATATATATATTTGTTAAATCATCACAACCAACTGCAATTTTTACACCTGCTATTGAGATTGTAGCTGAAGTCAGCAGATCCTGGCCAGGAAAAGCGTCCTGCTCGGCAGCGCCACCTCCTGGTCATGGAGAGACAGACCCCAAGGCCACGAGCAACCTTAACTCACTGCTGCCCCCTGGGTTCTGTGACCCTGAGCTGCTGAGCGAATGGCCGCCTCTCTCAGCCCCTCCACCCCCTGAAGCTCCCCGGCCTCTTCGCCTTCTGGATGGGGACGCAACGCTGTGGTCCCCGGAAGGCCTCCTGCGGGAAGGGACCCCCTGCATGTAGACTGTCAAAGCGCTCCCCCATTAAAGCCCGGGGTGTGTTCTTGGTTTATATCTATGTAATATATTGTTATTGATTTCGGAAAGGGAGGGAGTGGGAGAGAAAGCATCCATGATGAGAGAGAATCGCTGACTGGCTGCCTCCTGCACACCTCCCACTGGGGATGGAGCCCACAACCCGGGCTTGTGCCCTGACCTGGAATTCTAGCTGTGACCTCCTGGTTCATAGGTCGATGCTCAACCACTGAGCCACGGAGGCTGGACCACATCGCCTTTTTAAAACGGGCCACTTATTGGAGGACATCCCGCCGCTCACAGCTGTCACACACTTCCAGGCACCGACTCCTGGCTGCTCTCAGTCTA